TAAAGATATAAATTTTATATTTTTTTCTACTTAATTATTTATCAGTTGGCATGAAAAATAGTAACTCAAATAAAAATATAACAAAATTTATATTCTTAAATTAAAAAAAAATCAAAATTCATTTCATAAATAAAAAAATAAAACTTTATTACTTAATTTAAAATTACGAAAATCTTGTATTTTTAAATAAAGAAAAATAACAGACTTCATATTGGACATTTTCAGATTTTCTAGGAGAAGAGAATCAAGAGATCGAGCGATTGAGGCCGGTGAAAATCGGCTTCGTGGATGGATGATCAGAAGGAACTTCTCCGGACAGTGTTTGGTGAAAGCTCCGACAGTGAAGACTCCGATCAGCGGCGGCCGCAGGACGGCGATGCGGTTTCGGTTTCTGTTTGGGAACCGATCCAGGGAATTGACGGATTATGGCTGTGCCGGGACTTTCTCTCTCCTCAACAACAAGCATCCCTGCTCGCCTCCGTCCTGAATGGTTCGTTTAATTCTCATTCCTGCATTCTCCGCTTCATGATTAGTAAAGAATACGAAGAGTTCAATTCTTCGAATTATGATCCGTTTATGCTCTTTTGTTTGCAGAGGGATGGTTCACCGAAGCTTCTCAGAATCAGGTACCTGCGCAACCTATGACTATATCTTTAACATTTGAATTTGGGGGATTTACTAAGCATGTGATTATAGATGTTTGATTCTCTCAATGTTGTGATGATAGAATTTAGATTGCCTAGGTTTGTTGGTACAATGTTTGGTGTTTGTAATGTGGGCATTTCTAATGGCTGAATTTGCATGCTCTATTCATCAGATGTTGATGGAGATGAAAATTTTGATAATGTTGACTTTTTAGTTACTCATTTCCTGCCTCAGTTTTGCAAAGCCGTGCCATACCCCCATGCCATGATCTTTCTGTCATTGTTATTGTGATATTAACCCCAAGCTACTACTGCTAGGTCTGCAATGCCCATTTAGTTCTGAAATGTATTTAGTAAGGAATGTTTGATTTTTGCTTTCTGGGTCATTGAGTGTTTGCTGATGATATTGAAGGAGAATAGTGGATCCTATAATTTTTCTGAATATTGATTGGCTCCTATTCTACAAGGACCTAATTAATTAGGAAACATAATGTTCCAACAGAATGTGATGGAAAGGCCTGGATGGAGTTCATAATTGAATATTAGTAGAATGACTATTTTAAAACTTTTCTTGCTCTTTGTCAGATGGCATATGTGACAGTTTGGCTATTTCAGTAAACTATTCTCATTAATTTATCACCTGAAATCCTCCAAATCATTGAAAGTTCTTTCTTGGAGATTGCTTCAGTCAGCCTTGTTGTTGGTGCTGATTTCAGCTTGGCTACTCTGTTGTGCTTTTGGTTGTCATAACTGAATGTCTCCTTCCTCTTTTCATTCCTTTTTGTTTGGTCCTTTTCTTTTCTGCAGGCCATGAGGTTTGGGAATCTTCCACAATGGGCGACTGAACTTTCTGATTCTATTTGTGATGCCGTCATTTTTGGTGATCACATTTCTGAATCTAAAGACTTGGTTGTCTCTGACAGTGGCATGGAAGCCTGTGTATTGCCATCAATTTTATTGTGCAGAGAACCTTTATTTGATCAACTTATTGCAAATGCATACCAACCAGGTGAGGTTCGATAATCTTATATTCAGTTGCTAAGTTATATCCCTATCAAAGCCATCAAAGCCAGACATTCGATCTAATATAAACTCATCCATGCTTAATGTGCAGGGAATCTGTGCACACGTTGACCTCATGCGTTTTGAAGATGGGATTGCCATCATTTCATTGGAGTCATCATGCGTGATGCACTTTTCTCAAGTTGAAGAAGTTTGTGACATCGTTGAGGGAAGTGAAAATCATCCATCTATGAAGAAGATGCCTGTTTACCTGACTCCAGGGTCATTAATTCTAATGTCCGGACCAGCTCGCTATCTCTGGAAACATGAGATAAATCGAAAGCCAGGGTTTCAAATGTGGGAAGGACAGGAATTAAAACAAAAGAGGAGAATCTCCATAACTCTGAGAAAGCTGTGCCAGGTTGAGTAGCTTCCCATTGCATATGGTACCGGATCACTCTTACATTCTCCCTCTTTTTGTCAATTTCAAACATTAGACATTCATGGTAATGCATACTGTCTTAATAGTCATTTCGAGTGTTGAGACTGATTCAAGAATGCGAGTCCCATGCTCAAATTTTTTAGCCAAATGCTATACAACTTTTACATTGAGTTGGATTGTTGTTGCGAGTGCTCAGATTGATAATGGAAATTTTTGTTGAATTAGAATGGCAAAACCCTCAAATTTGTCTCTTAAATAGAAAGATACGAATAGATTCGCATTCATCCCTCAAAGAAAATAAAGATAAATTAATCATTATTTTTATTTAATATGTAATATTATCATGCGTCAAAAATTTATTTGTCATTTAAGTATTTTTTAATAAAAAAATAACTTGTGATGACATCACATGGTTAATAATGAGTGATTTCTTAGTCGAGGCAATTTATCCTTTTTAGGGGTAAATTTGTACATACGTTTCTATTTGAGGGGCGAGTATGACGTATTGCCAATTAGAATCTTGCAGTACTTAAGTTATGGGCTTCAAAAGACAATGGGCTGGAAGCTTCAACTCATCAATTATGGGCTTTCTAAGGATCATGGGCCTGGCCCAGATGCTTTATAGAATCAGCTTTTAAAGACCGTGGCCTTCTTCAACCAACGAAGTTCAAAAGAGAGCAATCATCGATCATGAAAGGCTCGCGCCAAGATCTGATCGGCGAAATGCCCGACGAAGAACAACCGCCTCAAGAATCCCCTGTCGACGTTGATGTCTCCCCTCTCTGCCGTGACTACAACAACCAACCAGCCAATCCCAGCTCTGCCTGCTGCTGCAAATGCAGTTGCTCCTCCATGAAACGCCCCTCCCGGGTCTCCCCTGAACCCTCCGCGGAACGCGACTCCAAGAAACCCAACCTCCATGGTCCATCTCTCGCAGCTTCCTCCGTTCTTCCCCATCCCTCAGCTGCCCCCGAAACCCAATCTTTCCCTACCCTTCGCCGCTGCCTTTCTGGTCGTTACACCCCACCGAGGTTATCCACTTCGCTCTCGGGTTTCTCTGTTACTCCCCTTGTCCCAATTCCCACCCAATCTTCCCCTCCCCATCGCCGCTACGTTTCTGATCCCTATAGCCCTCCAATGTCATCAAACTTCCAGCCACTGGATTCTTTGGTGTCGCAACCACCCCCGGAGGATGCCGAGATTGTGGCGGACACACTGCCGCCTAGAGGAGGTCCCTCTTCACTGCCGCCGAAGCCCCCAGTCCGGAGGCGGTTGATGGTGGACGCCACTCCCTCACCGGACAAGTCCTTCACCAGGTCTCCCAGCTCGAAAGAAATCACCAGGGAAGAGAGTCCCCATATCCAGGTCTGTATCTGTGGGGGGTTTTAAACATTTCTTGCACGATTCTTGGGTCTGTATCAATTGTGTTGATTTCTATTTTTGCTCTAACTGTGTGATTAGGGGTTTGAACTATTATGGGTTTCTTTCACTCACTGCAAATTTGCAATCTTTTTCTTTAGCATTTCCTGTTTTTATCGCGATTTCTTGAAATTGTTGATTAATGGCAGAGGTGGCAGAGGATGAAGGATCGTCTGAAGGAGATGAATGAGTGGCTGGATGAAATCCGGGAAAGTGAGGAACCGAGAGTCACTAAAGATCCAGCAAAGGTTTGATCTTGCTTGGCAGACAACATTCATTTATCCTTACTATAATCTGTTTGGTTACCAAGAAAGTGGTAACAAGGAAAATGTAACTGGTTTGCAGGATGAGAATGAAGAAGAAGAAATTGAAGAAGCTGTGTGGGTGGAGAAAACAGGGGAATGTTTGGTGGTTCATTTCAAGTGTCCCTGTGGCAAAGGCTATCAAATTCTTCTCTCTGAAGGCAAATGCTACTACAAACTCATGTAGGTTCATCTTTCACATCGTTCGAGGAAAAGATACGTTGTTGTGAATCATATTCCTTTAGAATGCACAGGAAGCTTAAGACTGATTTTCATTTCTTCTCTGATTTGTGCTGTCTTGGCACACATGTTGTAATTGAAAGAAAGAGGTTTAGAGATTGGATGGATTTTGTTCACAAGGAAGACAACATATTGTTGTCATCATTCTTTTTGTACCATTGCAGAACAACCTACACTGCAATTGAATGAAGGTTTCATAAATATCTGTTCTCTCCAGAGCTTGGTTGCCTAGTCGGTAACTTTACAAATTTCTATACCATATCCTCTGTAATTTTCTTTGGTTTTTCTTCTATTGTTCCATTAATTGGAAAGCAATATGGACTTGGAGACATATTTTGTTGAGGGAATTGGATTGAGTATTGCTGTATACATTAAAATGTAACTTCATGTTCCAACCTTACAGAAGTTGAAATTGGCTTTTGAAGAGTCAGACAGGCTTCTTAAAAATCGTCATTCAATCTAGTTTTAGCTTATTGGTGGAGAAGCAGTAATGGATATTTATTTAAAAATTGTAATTATATTTCCTTAATGATTTTTATTCAAATAGTAAACTAATTTTTATTCAAAACCTACCAGTTACAAGTTTTAAAATTTTCCATTACGTATATAATTTATGCAATTATGCTGCTATTTTCTGTTATATTTTCAAAAGCCTGTCTAGAGGCAGCCTCCTCCATTTGTCTATACAAATTTTCAATTCTTTATTCTATATTATATTGTATGTAAGTCCCATCTTTATTGGAAAACAAAAGTGTGCGGATCTTACTTTACAATAATGCAAAACTTGTAAAATCACAATGAACAATGAAAAATGTTGAGTTGTTATATTTTAAAGGTAACATGAGCATGAATGGCCTGTTCCGTCCTAATGGTATTGGATTATAGGTTAGAGCTGTTCACCTCTATAGGTGACGTGTTTAAGTCGCATTGAATTCATTTCCCCCCTTCTCCATATATACATGTAAATAATGACAAATTGTTCAAAAAAAAAAAAAAAAGGTAACATGAGCATAAAAACTTACTAAATTAATAGAATGAAGCCTTTTAAAGAAAATGATTAATTCATGCCTTCATTTTTCATCTTTAGGGATATTATTTAATATTAATTTTTTATTATTTATTTTAACTTGATACTAATTTTTCCTATTTTTTGTTGCAAGAAATAATGCTAATTTCATCGAAAGTGGAGAGAGAAGCTAACGAACAAATTTGATATGCAGTAGATATGAAAAATGAAGTTGGAGGAGCAACAACAGCCCTTTCCACAAACTTGATCAAACAAACATTATTAGGAAAAACCCTATATAAACAGCTTCCTTGTCCATTGTCAAGAAATTAAATCTGTACAATCCCCATATACTCCCTTCTTTTTATTGGTTGAATTACATTTCCTATAAAAAAAAGAAACATTAATAAGTCTAGCCTTTTCCCACAACCATTAGCCCATGAGCCTTCAAAGGATAATTGGGTATTCAAAACAGAAGACCTATAACGTATAAACAAATCACAAAAATGTATTTTTGTAGTCCAAACAAACATTAATTTAACTATTAGATGATAAAAGACCCATTGCCCATTGACAATGATGAAGACCTCTCCCCATACTGACTGGTGTTTTACATTTTTGTAATTAATATATATATATATATATATTAATTTATATTCTCAGAACATAAGTAAATATTTTTTATTATAAATATAAAAAAAAATAAAAAATATAAAAATTAACCTTAATTTTGATGTAAATGTTAAGTGAATTAATTTAATTAAAAAATAATAAATTAAAAATTAATTTTTTTCTTAATAAAAATTTATAATTTCAACATTCTTAATATTTTCCTTTTATTACCTATGTCAAAAAATCCTATCCCAAATTGCGAGAGTCATAAGCTACCTAGAATTGGTTGGATTTAGCCGGCCCAAATCGGAATCTTGTTAAAAGGCTCAAGTTCCTAGAAGAATCAACCCAAAGCAATTAAACGAAGCACACCCAAAACGCAGAGTAAATCCACCACAGTAACGAACCCAAACGCAGGCCTAGTAATCTGACCTCCGAAGTTTCTTCTTACCAGACAAAAAGCTTACTTTGAGTACTCATTTGAAGATTTTAATTTTTTATTTTATTTGAAATATTTTCTCCAGTTATATCAAATATATTTTCAACTATTACGATCAAATAAAAGTTATTTTTTTATTTTAATAAATAAAAAGCTAAAATTTATATATATAATAAAGTGAGGGTTAAAAGTGTCATATTTATAATATTAATAAGGGGCTAAAACCTTGTAAGGTGAGAGACTATAAGGTATTGTTTGGATTGGAGGTATCGGACGGAGAGGGAGGGGAAGGGATGGGGACGGATGGCAAGGGAGGGGGAGTGAGGGGGAGCTGTCTCCTTCCTCCTGTTTGGGTTTCCAAAGAGGCAGAGGGGAAGGGAGATGGACTGATTCGGACTCTCTCCAACTCCCCTCGAATCTGCAGATTTGCAATCCGCCCGATTTGCAGGGTTTGAGAGCGATTTGAGTGGCTGTTTATATTAAGTTAAATGTAATTACAAAATTAACCTTAATTCTTTTATTATATTCTTTTCCATTATAAGTTTAAAGGGTAAGTTTGTAAATTTAAAATTAATTTAAATCCTTCCCTTCCTTCCTTTCCTTTTACCTTAACTATCCAAACATAAAATAATACAATTCTTCCCTTCTCCTCTCCTTCCTCAATTTTATTTATCCAAACAAAATTAACACAAATTATTACCTTCTATTTTCTTCCCTTCCCTTTCTTTTCCTCCCCCTCCATTTTCTTTTATTTTCTTCCATTCCCCTCCCTTCTCTTCCCTCCCCTTTACTATTTTCTATCCAAACAAGGCGTAAAAGTAGGTTTTTGCCCTTCTTACCCAGGCGGTCACGGTCCTGGCATTTTTTCAAAAAAACAGCTGTCTCCAATCGATCCCTCCTGTCGGAAAACGAATCACACACACTCATTAAACTTGACTAATTCGGCATTACAACTACGCGCTTTCCCTAAAATTCTCACTCACCCAGTTCTTCCCATCTCATTCCGACCGCCGATTTTCTCTCCGTTCCGGATTAGGGCAAGTCTCTGCAAGGGGAGACGGAGAAAAATGATTGACGAGTGTTTGGGACCTCAGAGATCCAGAAAGATCCAGAGAGCTCTCCGTCATTTGAAGGTCACGATCCTGTGTCTTGTCCTCACCGTCGTCGTCATCCGCGGCACCATTGGCGCTGGCAAGTTCGGTACCCCGGAGCAGGACTTCAACGAGATCCGTGACCACTTTAACTTCCGCAGGCGCGCCGAGCCGCATCGCGTTCTTGAGGAGGTGCAGACGACGTCGAAGGCGTCGGAGGAGCAGGCAAAGTCCGACGCCAACGCCGACGGTAATAACTACAATGCGTTTGATATCAACAAGATATTGATTGATGAAGAGGACGGTGATTCGAAACCCGACCCAAACAAACCCTACTCTATCGGACCCAAAATCTCAGATTGGGACGAGCAGCGCGCGAAATGGCTCAAGGAGAACCCTGATTACCCGAATTTTATCGGTCCGAACAAGCCACGGGTACTGTTGGTCACTGGGTCATCCCCGAAACCATGTGAGAACCCTGTCGGTGACCATTACCTTTTGAAATCTATCAAGAACAAGATCGATTACTGCAGGTTACATGGGATCGAGATATTCTACAACATGGCGCTTCTAGATGCGGAGATGGCCGGTTTCTGGGCCAAATTGCCGTTGATTCGGAAGCTTTTGCTGTCGCATCCGGAGATTGAGTTTCTGTGGTGGATGGACAGTGACGCTATGTTCACCGATATGGCGTTCGAGCTTCCGTGGGAGAGGTACAAAGATTCCAATTTGGTGATGCACGGTTGGAATGAGATGGTGTACGATGAAAAGAACTGGATTGGGTTGAACACTGGGAGTTTCCTGCTGAGGAATGGCCAATGGGCACTGGATCTTCTTGATGCCTGGGCACCGATGGGTCCTAAGGGCAAAATTAGAGAAGAAGCAGGTAAAGTTCTGACCCGAGAGCTTAAGGGCCGACCTGTTTTTGAAGCTGATGATCAGTCGGCAATGGTTTATTTGCTCATTACCCAGAAGGACAAGTGGGGGGAGAAGGTGTATTTGGAGAATGCCTACTATTTGCACGGTTATTGGGGGATTTTGGTTGATAGGTATGAGGAAATGATTGAGAATTACCATCCGGGTCTTGGTGATCACAGATGGCCATTGGTGACTCACTTTGTGGGGTGCAAGCCATGTGGAAAGTTTGGAGATTACCCTGTTGAGAGATGCTTGAAGCAAATGGATAGGGCGTTTAATTTCGGTGATAATCAAGTTCTTCAGATTTATGGGTTCACTCACAAGTCTCTGGCTAGTAGACGAGTGAAGAGAGTTAGAAATGAGACTGGCAATCCGCTTGAGGTGAAAGATGAACTCGGATTGCTTCACCCAGCTTTCAAGGCGGTTAAGTTATCTTCTTCTTGAAGATTAATTAGTCTTTGCTGCAAAATGGTAATATGAAATAAGCAATGCTGTGTATGAAATGCGTATCTATACCTGTTGGCAATAGTATTCTTTTGTTAATCTTCTTTGCTTAAATTATAAAGTTTGTAATGCTCTCCGAAGGAAAACAGAGCTCATTATTTCGCTTGGAGCTATTCAATTTTGTAGCCTCTCAACAAATTTCATTCTGTCAAAAGCACATTGTGGTAATAAATGATCAGTTACACCTGTTTACAATTGAGTTGCAGTAGTGTATTATTTTCTGTTAGCAAAAATGTTAATAGTTGCCTCATCACGAATCAGAGATGTTTGTTGTCCATCAGTGGTATTAATCATCTGTCTAAAACTTGAAGCAACTATGCAAATAGCCAAATACAGTCGTCTTGTTATTTTCTTGAGGACTCTTAGCTGATTGAAGATCCCTGGCAATGCTGTGGTTAAATTTTCAATATATATTTCCACTCCTACTGTGATATATTCTGCTGTATGGTTCAATAGGAAATTTTGTGCAAGTGTGTATTGCTACTACTAAGATCTCTTAAAGCTTATAGGATCTCTTAAAGGTTATTTCTATATTTTGGGATTTTCAAAGCATCAGCAAGAACTCCATATGCAAGAAATTGATAATATCCTCTCCTAGAATTGCTTCAGTTGCCTAGGATAATTGCTAAAGCAGCAGTTTTGATGTTCCATATGCATCCATGGTTAAACAATCTCTGAGGCTTTGTAACATCTTGTGAAGGAAAGTTATTTTAAAAGTTGTTCACGGTTAGTTTGCACTCTAATTGATCCTTTAGCAATCTGTAACATCTTGTAGATTATTTGAAGTGCACAGGGGCTTTTGGTTTGTAAATTGTGATTCGAGTGAGTGGACAGGTTAGTAACCATTAGTTGCTGAATATATAATCTAATCATCTTGAATGTGCCTGAATTGAAATTTCGATGTTTGAGTGAGGGAGAGATAGCCAGCCAGAATTGTTAAGAATGGTTAGAGATTTTCTAATGAGGCTAGGTGCCTTGCTAGGATGATTATTGTTCCCTATAGCCTGCTGTGTGAAGTCTTCTGGTTAGGTGGAAGGAAAGTTCTTGGGCAGTGCCAGTGTGATATCTTAGATTAAGGTGAGTGGCCACTAGAGATCCAATATGATTACTTTATTCTGAATTATATGATTCATTAAGGCCTAAGGGCGGTATTGTTCATTGTTATATTTTATCGATGGAATACCACAACAAAATATTATATATATTGGAAAAATGCAAGTTTGTTGGTCTCTTTGTAAATGTCATACTTCTAATCTTATTTTCATTACAAGAATAACTCTCTTCTGCTGCAATCGACGTATATGCAATAGAATTGTAAATCTCCCATGTCTGCCTTTGGTTGATACTTTGTTATTACTACTGTCTGTCACCTCTGGCTCTAGCTCTGGTGAATGTGGGTATAGTTAGCTGTATACCAGGGTCCGGAACCGTATTCTAACTTAACACTTTGGTTCTTCAGCATTGGATTATATTGTTTTCTTCAATTAGATTCCAATGCATTTCAGTTGGATTGGATTGGACACAAGACACTACACAAGCTTCACCACATGGCTGTGCACATGTTGTATTGTCAAGAAACTTTTTTTATTATAGATGTTTTCCATGAGTGGGGGAATATTTCTTTGGTTTTAATCTATGAGAATGGGTTTTTTTTTTAACCTAATAATGCAGTTCATATAGCATTGAAATTTGAAAGTTCTAAAATACATTTAATGAATAAGAGTCATTAGATCTGTTTAAATACTTTTGTTATTGGGATTGAAAAAGACTTTTATGTTAATCTATTACTATTATTATGTGGGAGGGATCGTCAGAATCTGGATATTCTGGGTTAATTATTCCTATGTTCCTGCTTAAGTTCTTCTGCCACTTTTTTGTCACTTTTCTGGAAATTTTTTATTCCATTACTTTGCATTTTTTTTTTCTTTTGACCAAGTTATCATCACAATGGTTTGTAATTTTATGTTAGTCCGACAATAATTGGTGGCATCAAATATTATTTTTCCGGCCATCCGACCTGCCTTTTTACATTTTTATTAAAAGAAAATGATTCATTCAAAATGTTCATTCTAACAATCTTATTTAGTAACGTGATTCTATTATAAGGTAACATTGTGTGCACCAGCTTTACAAATAATAAAAAAATCAGCATCAATCAATCGTTCAACAATTACAAACTAATTGTTAATCAAGAATCATAAAATATTGTTCATTAGTCCCCGAATGTTTTCAACATTTAAATCTACAAATATATATTTACATGAAATTCATCCAACCTCCACCTTCACCATGAGGGAAAAGATACATTATAAATTCAGAAAAGTGATATG